TATGGTTCGAGTACCATACATCGGAGCAGGTTGAGGAGTGAAGCTATGGTTCGGGTACCATACACCGGAGCATATTGGAAGGGATGTCATGGGATGAGTACCATGGTTCGTAGTGAATGATGCTGGTGATTATTTTATTATCCGGTCATGATCGATGAGGTAGAGATCGGACGCTATGGGTTTTAGGCCTGCAGACCATGATTGAGTATGAAGAGGCGTCCCTCGAGAGGAAAGGCGAGTGCCTATCAGAGTATTTTGGTAAGGAGTTAAAGGAAGGAGAAAATTTCGGTCTGAGCTGAGCAATCAGTCGATAGAGGAGAGGTCACTCCTAGGTGAGTGGTGCTATTTTGTTCGTGTGCAAGACACGGGAGGCCTGATGTTTCAGTTTTGGGTTTGGGGGTACACCCTACAGGTCGTATCGGTGATGATTTTCCCCAGAGTAGCAGGTGGCAGGTGTGCCGCGAGGCAGTGACTTATCGGGAGCAGACAGTCAGTTGGGACTGAGGTAGTCGAGGACCACACCACACCTAATTGAGAATAGTAGGTTGTGTTATAGTGGTAGTAGTGGGAGTTCAGTTGAGTTTTGCAGTGCAGGGAGTTTTCGTCTATGTTGGGAGTGGGTCCCTGTCCTTGGGAAAATTCCGGTGTTGGAACATTGGTTGATGAGTTGAGGTGAGAGGAACGATGATTTTGCGGTGCAGTCTATGAGACAGGGATGTTATTGAGCAGTTGAGATGTTTAGTGTTGGATTGGTATGAGATTTGGAACGATTAGAGGCAGTCGTGATGAGAGGTTCTTGAGGAGTTCATCAGAGGTTCAGAGTATAGGGGGTTGATTGAGTTCCTTAAAGGGAATTATCGGGCGTGGTGTAGCACTTTCCGGGGACAGGTGCGATTTCGCTGGTGGAAAAATAGTCGTGGGTTGGTTGTGTGCTAATTGGTAATGGTTCGAACCCTAAGTGGGGGAGAACCGGGTGCAGTATGTAAAGCAAAGATTTGTCAAGAGTAGTTATAAGTGGAGTATAGAGATATGCTGTAAGAAATCATGAGACCAGAGATGTCGGTGATCGAGGAAAGGGGTCAGAGTGAGTTAATGCGGGAAGTACTTGAGGAGGAGGACGAATGTATCCATGACAGGTGATTGGTGTTGTTGCAAGTAGATAGAGAATGATTGGGCGGCCAACTCCCGGGGTCGGTATGCGTATCCTCGTTTGGATTTTGAGCGTCGGGAAAAAGGGGTTTCGGAGGATTATCAGTATATTTCGTAGCGTCAGCGTTTTCTCGTATTCCAATCGAGAAATTATATGCACCGAAGTTGTAATGTGGGAAAAATGTAGATCTAATTATGGGGTTCAGAGGAAACGTATCATTGTGTTTATATGGTGCTTGGGGCAGGAGATCAGTGGTTGTGCAGGATCTTGTGGTGTTCTGTTGGAGTACTCTGTGATATCCGGGTATGATATCCTTATTTCGAAATTACTTGTGAACCCTGAATTGAATCGACGTGTGGCATATCAAGTATCTGTGAATCCAGTGGGAGCCCTTCGAGTATGAGCATCCAGGGAGATTATTTGAGAGAGTGGATTTTCGCATAGATGGGCATTTGTTACGTTGATTGCCTCCAGAGTCTGTGATGGATATTCGAGCCGTAGTACTCCCTACTCAGAGGGTGTTGTGATGCTGCGTGGAGTTGCAGTACTCACTAAATGGCAAGAGAATTTCGATGTTGGAATGTTTTCGAGCAGTGCATGATGTGGAAGAGTTGGGTTTGAGTAGCCCTGGTATTGAGTCCTTGGAGCTTGGATGTTGAGTCGGGGCGAGACGGGGGCCTCCGTCTTTGTCAGGAGATGCGGGGAGATACGCAGGGAATATGCGGAGCAGAAACCAGAGATTTGAGTTGAGACGATCCTCGGTTGAATTGTATTTTTCTCGCATGAGGAAAAGAGGATTTCGTGACTTGCGTGTCACTGGGCCGGGATAGTGGTCACGGGGAGGAAGTTAGTGGGACACTTGGATCATGATACGGGTGCCGTTGGGGGCTCAGCTATGGAGCCAAAAGCTGATCTAGTACTCAGTCTTGAAGAGGAATATGAGAAAGGAGATTATCCTGATGACATCTAAGGACACTTTAGAGAGAGTGAACGATTCAGACGCTCGAAGACATGCTTCGGGCATGTGTATTAGATTTTGGAGGAAGCCGCGGTACGTATTTATCCTTGGTTGAGTTGTCCCATATCAACAGCCATCATTAGTGCATTGGTATGCCGCCTTTTGAGCTGTTGCATAGGAGGTGATGTCGGACCCTCATTGCTGAGGAGAGGTAACGCATGGGCCTGAGAGTCCTTGCGAGCAGATCCAGAGCATGTGCGATACATGGAGTAGTGGCAAGGTCGTCAAGCGGATTTCCCTAGGTAAGGGAGAGGAAGGTATGTTGGGACTAGTGCAGCATGTGTATGCGAATACAAGAAGGGAACTCGTGAGAGTTGCTCTGAGAGTGCGAATGGGTCTCTCGGTCGTTCCGAAATGGATAAAGTGGGCTTTGGATCGGGGATCCGGTGATTCATGGTTTCCTAACCCTTATGGGTCGAGTGATCGTTGAGATTTGGAGCAGAATTGCATCGTGGGTAATTCTCGGTTACAAGGAGTAGTGGGCAGTACAGAGATCGTGCTTCAGTCGACAGAGCAGATTCAGCAGGTTAAACAGAGGTTATTGATCGCCTAGAGCTGACAGAAAAGTTATGCAGATAGACGCCGGTGTGAGCTTGAGTTTCAGGTCGGCGACTTCGTACTCCTGAAGGTCTCTCCTGGAAAAGGGGTGATTCGATCCAGGATGAGGGGCAAGTTGGGGCCCCGGTATGTTGGGCCTTTTCGTGAAATTGTGAGGGTAGGACGGGTGGCCTATCGTTTGGAGTTGCCAGCGGAATTGAGATAGATCCACGACACTTTTCATGTGTCGCAGTTGAAGAAGTGTATAGTCGATGAGTCAGCAGTGGTTCCACTAGAGAACATTTAGGTGGATGCGAGCCTGAGTTATGCTGAGAGACCAGTGGCCATCAGGGATCGGAAGATCAAGGTTCTGAGGAACAAGGAGGTACCTCTGGTGTTGGTTCAGTGGCAACCCGGAAGGGATCGGAAATGACTTGGGAGTCGGAACGTGAGATGCGGGAGCAGCATCCGGAACTATTTTCAGAGTAAGACTTCGGGGGCGAAGTCTGATTCTAGTGGGGGAGAATTGTAACAGCCCGGAAGCTCAAGTATTGTTGAAATTATATTTATGGGGTGTTTTAAGGGGGGACTCGGCGAGTTGGAGCCAGACTCGCCGAGTAGGATCGCAGACCTGGTCGCGGGTTCGCGACTGGACTCGACGAGTCAGATAGGGACTCGGCGAGTCTGCGCTGTTTAGCGAAAACCCTAGCCGTTTAGGTTTGGGACGTATAAAGGGGACTTATTGGCCTTCATTGTTCGTTTTAGCCTTCTGAGAAGAACCCTAAATCGATTGTGTGCATCTAGATCAAGATTAAAGGTCATTGGTGATTTTGAAGGAGTTGTTGTGCAAAGAAGAGAAGGGCTTGGCTAAGGAACAGCAAGGGGGTCACATTCTGAGGATTGGGGACACAGAGAACACATTATCCAGGTATGAATTCGTGTGTATTCTGCTATGGTGATGTATTTAGAGGATTAAGGTTTATGGAACCCTTTTATGGATAGATTGAATGTTACCCTTGTTCCCCAAACGATTGTAACCCTGTATTAGGACCCTTGGAGGTCCAGAATATCCCATGTCTGTGCATTTCGGGAATTGGTGAAGGTTTTGGATTGAAATCCTTATGCCTTAGGTCCACATGTAAATTATAAGTCTTGGGGTGTATCATGAGCACCTAAATGAAGACCTTATGTAATGGACAGTCGAGGAAGGCCAGACCTATGAATGGTCGGAGCAGTTATGACCTTAGGAAGCAGTTTGCGCGACTGCATGGCATGGACTCGCCGAGTCAGATGAGCAGACTCGGCGAGTAGCTTGAAGAATAACTGGGACTCGTCGAGTTGTTCATCAGACTCGGCGAGTGGAGTCGGGGTGGCCCCGCGATTCTTCCAGGAGTAACTCGTCGGGTCAAGGAGGATACTCGACGAGTAGAAGGGAAACCTTAGAGGATTGGAGGACGACTAGACTCGCCGAGTCGCCAGAGTACTCGCCGAGTCCGGTCGAGTTGACCGTGGACCGTTGACCAGAGTTGACCTATGTGTAATTTCTTAGGGTCAGTTGTCTTGAAAGATAAAAGTATTAATAAGAGAATACATTACCCATGGAGCTTGAAGCTCGGCGGATCAAGTGCAAGTGATTTCAGGAGTTGCTAATTTCCAGTATCCACGAGGTGAGTCTTCTCACTATACTGTACCCGGAAGGGTTTGACTGTGTGACCGGAAGGTCGGACATGATATGTGTTATACGTGCTATAAATGGTAAGATAATTGCTATGCGTGCTATGTATGTTTATATGGGCCGGAAGGCAATATGTTATGTGATCGGAAGTCGAATATGATATATGATATATGTGCTATATGTGGTAAGTTAAATGTATTATGTGCTGTGTATGTGTATGGGCCGGAAGGCAATATGTTATGGGCCGGAAGGCAATATGTTATGGGCCGGAAGGCAATATGTTACGGGCCGGAAGGCGATTATCTCATGGGTCGGAAGGCGTTGTATTGTGGACCGGAAGGTCAGGGCCTGGAAAGGCGTATATGCGTAAGTTGTATATTGGGGAACTCACTAAGCTTCGTGCTTACAGTGTTTTGTGTTGTGTTGTTTTCAGGTCCATTCAGTAACACGGGACGGCACCAGCTCGATTGTACACACCAGAGAAAGAGTTATGTTTTGGAGGATCCTGGTTTTCTATTCAAGTGAAAATGAACTATGATTTGTAATTTAATTATGAATGAAATTTTAAACAAGTGTTCTAATAAAATGATTAATTTAAATGAAAAATTTTGCCTTGAAAATCACGGTGTTACAGCATTACAGCGAACTGGAATTTCTGGGGTAGGGGAGCGAAGCGAAGTATCAACTCGGCCCGAAGCCTCATCTTTTGAACTTTCACTCTCATATTCCGATGGAGGAGCGTTCTTGTGCTTAGGAGGGATAGATTCTGAATCTGAATCGCTTGAAGATTGCAGAATAAGTCTCCTAGCGGGCTTCTTTTGCTTTTTCGGTTGAGCCTGAGAAGTTGCAGCTTTATCAGATTTTCTCTTCTTAGGGGTTTGGCCCTTCGTTTGCTTAAGGACCGGTCCTTCCTTCTGTGTTTCATGCTTCTTACCCCTCTTGGCTGGCTTGTCAGCCTCTTCAATTGAAGGGATCATAGCCGGTGTGAGCTCTCTTGGGCCAACAGATGGATGCTTCATGTACTGTTGAAGAACATTACTCGACTCAGAAATATGACTGAGCATAGCATCAGGAATGGATCCGATAAACGAAAACTTTGTTGGATCTGTAACGATGATTTTTGTCATATGAAAGGTAGCAATAGATGAAAGCAAGGAATCCGCCATTATTGGAACACGAAGGCGGTCCATTGCCCAGTTGGTGATGATAGTCCAGAAACGCCCACAGGAGATTTTAGAATGCCTAGATTAAGAGACCAAGCTCTGGACCAACTATTCCCAGATAATGGACCCATAATCTAGGTCAATTCCATTGTACAACCCATACATTACTGTCATGAAGGATTTGCTTGCACCATCGGAGCTAGCGCTTCGCTCAGATAGTCCATTTAACAACTGCGTAAAAAGGCCATTCAATTGAGGAGGAAGGCAGGACTTCTTGAACTTCATAATGGTGGTTAGGGTTTCAGTATACCCCATTTGATAGAACATGGAAAACAATTGACCAGTTGTATTGGAGTCAGGGTTTACCAGAGATGAATCTTGGGAAAGACCAATTAGGGCACATAATTGATGCTTTGAGATAGAGGTCTTCTCATCATGGTGTTCAAAGTGAATTCGTTCATTAATCCTGTCATAGAAGGCAGTAGAGTAGACAAGAGACAAGCACGACATGGGAACAACTTCAACGTTAGTCAGTGCGTTGACGAGTGGTCAGTATTTGAGACACTCAACCACATACAGCATATAGGGCTCATAAATGAATGGGGTGAGATCGATGATCAGATTCTGCTAGGGTTTGATGGTGAGAAGAGGTTGACAAACAGAAGTATCGTGAACTGATGATGAGTCTACCATTGTTGGAGCTTGAAGAAGATGATGAACATTTGCAGAGAATCATCGGTGTTCTTTGAGAGATTTTGGGAAGTGATAAAGGTTGAGAGAGTAGCGTTCCAATTCCTTTTATACGCACAAGGAAGAGAGAGAAAAATTCGGCTGAAATCTTGGATTATTTCAAAAATAGCGCCCGACTTGATAAGTGAACAGTTGGCATGCCTAAGATGACGTAGGAGAGAGAAAAACGTTTCCTTTTTACACGCTCTTTCATAAAATGTCCTTTTTCAAATCGTCAAACCGTTTGGATAGCTGTTGAGTCAACTTCCACTTTATCCCAATCGTTTCTCCATACAACATTTGAATCTTTGTTGCCCTTAGCATTTTAATGATCATTCTGAACAAACCTAGAATTTGGAAAATTAAAAATTTTCGTGCATAGGGTGTAAAAGATAAAGAAATAAAACAAAATTTTAGGGATAATCTGTGATGTCGTAAGAAGACATAAGACAATTGATTCTGGGCAAAAATCACTTCCTTCAAATTCAAGAGAGACATTAAAGTGCTTGCTTGGTTTCCCATTGAATAACAATCAAAAACTTGTTGAGAAGTTTTGAAAGGCATCTTTTGAAGGTTAAAGAGGGTGTCTTTCGCTTCAATTCATAGTTTCGATACTTAACATAAGACCGAAACTGAATGAAGTACTTGTGAGATCATTGTGATATGTTGAACAAGTAGGTATGATAAACTTTATAGTGACGAGGGAAGGAAGAAATCTCAAAAAAAAAAAAAATTAACTGGATCTTTTAGGGTTAGAGAAGCCTTGGTGAAAGGCAAACTCATAAAGATCACTCAAAAGAAAAAAGAGATTTCATAGGGTAACAAGTAAGATCTTGAATTTTTGAATTCACCATCAATTCATTAGTGGTGTTGAACTTTGGGTTTCACTTAGTACATTGTGGCATGAAACTAAGATCATGAACACTGACTTGGTATAACCATAAACCTCAGTGGTTAAGACTGAGAGTCTCAGAGGTTATATTGAAACGAGTTATAATGGAGAAAGATGATGAAGATGGTATAAGAAGCGAATGTAACTCTGCTTTAAAGAAAAGAAGGACCAAGAAGAAAACTCTAAACTCAATGTGAGTAGAGTAAGATAGCTCATGATTAGAGTGAATTGGATAGCCTGGATTGGGAAAACACGATTGGTATATATCATGTTATTAAGGCTTCACTCAAAATCTGTCAAGGCTTTAGTCAACATACAGCAACATGCTTCTAGGGACTCCTAACTAGTACAACCATTTACCTGCCTTAGCATCGCCATCGAGAATCACATTTAGACAAAAAATAAAACCACAAAAAAAATATTTTTGAATTTTGTGAGAGTTAACCAATTGAACGAAAGAGAAAAATATTTTTGGATTTCTTAAGTATTTTATAAAAAGAAAATATTTTTGGAATTTTATAAGTAGAAAAGAAGTAAAGAAAAGATGTACATAAGAAAACAACTGAAATGCCTAAAAAAACGAACGAGTTTAGAAGGACCGAACCCGAAATAGACCGAACGTTCGGTTCATTTCGATTCATGGTCGAACTTCACCCAAAATAGACCAAACCCGAAAAAGACCGAGCGTTCGGTTCATTTCGGTTCGCTCTATTTCACTTGTTACCTTTATGGAAGCGATGGAGATTTCGGTACAGATTCAGCTTGCATCATTCCTAGGCCTTGTAGAATCTTATTGAAGCGTGCTTCAGGTAAAGCCTTCGTGAACATGTCTGCCGATTGATCAGTCGTTCTAACGAAGTGAATTTCTATGTTACCATCTTCGACGTGATCCTTGATGAAATGGTACCTCAGTGCTATATGCTTAGTCTTCGAATGTTGCACGGGGTTATGACAAATCCTAATTGTGCTTTCAGAGTCACAATACAACGGGATTTTCTTCATGTTTAGCCCATAATCCCTGAGTTGACTTTGTATCCATACGACTTGAGATGTAGAGGATGCTGCAACAATATATTCGGCTTCTGCAGTTGATAGCAAAACACAGGTTTGTTTCTTCGATTGCCAACTGACTAATTTACCATCTAGAAATTGACATCCTCCTGTGGTGCTTTTATGATCTAATCCACACCCACCTAAATCAGCATCTGAAAATGCTTGAAAAAAGAATCCTGAGTTGGTTGGATACCACAGACCGAGAGAGGAGGTTCGCTTCAGATAGCGAAAGATGTTCTTCATGGCTTGAAGATGAGGTTCTTGAGGGTTGGCTTGAAATAACGCACAGTAGCAGATAGAGAACATGATATAAGGTCTACTGGCTGTAAGATACATCAGAGACCTAATCATCTATCGATAAAGTGTTATATCAGTTGCTGGTTTATCCAATGATGGTGTGAGTTTAGTTCCAAAAGCCATAGGAACTTTCACTTTGGAGTCTCCCATCATTCCAAACTTGGTTAGCAAAGCCTTGGTATATGCTTCCTGATTAATAAAAATGCCTTCGGGTCCCTGTCTAATGTTCAATCCAAGAAAAAAAGTTAATTGGACCCATTGAACTCATCTCAAATTTAGTTTCCATCAACTTTATGAATTCAGCTGTTAAGCTAGGATTCGTGAAGCCAAAGATGATGTCATCAACATAAATTTGGACTATCATAAGGTGGTTACCTTCTCGCTTACGAAAGAAGGTTGGGTCAACCGAACCTTGTTTGAATTTAGACATTTTTAAGAAACGAGTGAGAGTTTCATACCATGCTATGGGAGCCTGTTTGAGGCCATATACAGCTTTGTCAAGGATATAACAATGATCAGTATACTTCTCGTTTACGAAGCTTGGCGGTTGCTCAACATATACGATTTCTTCAAGTTCACCGTTGAGGAAAGCACATTTGACGTCCATTTGATAGACTTCAAAGTTCTTGTGAGCAACGTACGCAAGAAAGATATGAACATATTCTAATCTTGCCACGGGAGCGAAGGTTTCTTCATAATCGATTCCCTCTTCCTAACAATAGCCGTTGACGACCAGTCTCGCTTTGTTACGAATGACATTCCCTTCTTTATCCATCTTGTTTCTGAATACCCATTTGAGACCGACAACCAAAGCATCCTTTGGAGTTGGAATAAGGCGCCATACCTTGTTTCATTCAAACTCATTTAACTCATCCTGCATAGCTTGAAACTAGTCTGAATGATCAAGAGCTGAGTTAACTGTTTTTGGTTCAACTTTGGAAACGAATGAATTGAACATACAAAACTCGACTTTTGAAAAGAGTGCAGCCTGTTTCGCTTTGATTTGAGAGCGAGTTAACACTTTTTCCAAGGATTCCCCGATAATTTGACTTTGAGGGTGATCTTTGGTCCATTTGATGAGTGGAGGAAACTTTGGATCATAGATGGGATCCAATTCAACGTTGATTTCTTCCTCTAGTTCAGACACAATGTCATCATCACCAATATTGGTGTTCTCCCCCTCGAAGAATGATTCCTGTTCAGGACCAGCATTTGTATCCCCTTAATTGGCTGGAATTTCAGTAGAGCTTGATGTATTTGGTGATGTGTTCTCCCCTTGGAATGAAGATCCTTGATCATGATGAGGAGAGGAACCCTCCCCCTGGACATCAGGACGGTCACCAAAAGGTTCGCTTGTTTTTGCAGCTTCGGTTTCTTTGGATTGAGCATCATCCATCTTCTTAGCAGCATCGTCTATAACTTGTTTCAAATTATCAACTTTGTTTTCTTTTGCAGTTGATTCAGAGTCAATCAACTTTTGAGGCTCATCAAACAGGAGCATGAATTGGTCGAAAAGATTCGAGATAGAGATAGTAACCTGACTATTCTTTGGAAATATGTCTTGCGAGGCATCTTCTGTTGATTTTATTTTCATAACATAACTATCATCAAAGGTGACATAGAATGTTTCTTCAATCTTCTTCGAGCGTTTATTGAGAACTCTATACACCTTGGAGTTCAGGGAGTAGCCTAAGAAAATTCCTTCATCTGCCTTAACATTGAACTTGTTTCGATTCTCTTTGGAATTGAAGATGAAGCATCTTGAACTGAACACATGAAAGAATTTCATGTTTGGTTTTTGATTGTTCAGGATCTCGTAAGGGGTAATTGAGAACCACTTATTCAAGTATGATCTATTTTGAGTATAACATGCAGCCGCAATTGTATCAGCCCAGAAATACAAAGGTAAGGACGCGAAGCATAGCATCGC